CCCTTAGGTGGGGGTAGCCTGTTTACAAAGTAAGACATGAAAAAAGAAGCTGCTTGCTGCCATTCCTCCGGTTTGCTCTGGCTGTTTGCTGTTCGGCTGCCATTCCCCCACTTTGTTCTTGTTGCTTTGCTACCTTTTGCCTTGGAGCCAGCCAAGTATGGACTGAAACCTCCACAAACTGTAAGCTAAATAAACCTTTCCTTCCTTCATTTTCGGCGTTGGGTATTTTGTCTCAGCAATGAGAGAAAAGTAACCAAAACAGGTGGTAAGGAGTGCATTTCACTCATTGAACAAGGGCAGGATGAGGAGATGAAACAGAGGAGAAAAACACAAGAGCACAGGAGAAGCCAAGGGGAGAGAGGACAGACATAAGTGACCTGAAGAAGGCTATTCCAGCCACATCATCTCTAGCCTCAGTTTCCAGTGAGATTGGACTGGGTCTCAGTTTGATAACACCCCCTAGAAGCAAACTCCTGCGGCCTATTGCAAAATCTAGAATATACTGCAAGGATGCTGGAGGGTACAGAATCCAAAGAAAGGTGAGAAAGCCAGAACCCAGAAGCCACAGTGACCAGGAAGCTCCACAAGTGGAAAATGCCATACTATAAAATTTGGTTTTATGTGTAAAATTATTAAAAATATTGTATAACATTATTTCAAGGCAATATGGATAATAGATAGAGAGATAGAGAGATAAAGGTAGAGAGATAGATAATAAATAAATCTTGTGCTGGGCCCCACCTCCAACATACCTCATTATGAATATGCAAATAGTTTAACATTTGAAAAAGAAATCTAAAATTGGAAACATTTCTTGTCCCAAGTACTTCAGATAAGGCATAAATGCTGGGCACAATTTACATCTGATCATAGAAGCCTTCTGACCGTTAGACCACCTTCTCATTGGGTCGGGTCAGGCACCCTACTGGGCAGTCTTCTCTTTTGTAAGGACAGAGTAAAATATACACTCATAGGCATTTGGTCCTAAGAAGAGGAAAGTGCCTGGCCTAAGCATGTCTAGTTCCTCTCCCCAACTTTAGTCAGTAAGCTACTCCTCTTTCATGAACTTACTTTCTCTTATTGTTGTATTGTTATCTTGTTACTGAATTGTATGCTAGCTGACCAAAGGGGGAAACTTGTTCCCCTTTGCCACAGAGGTCATACAGATGGTCACAGGGGTTGGATGGAGGTCAGAACCAGTGCAGAAACAGGATTCCATGAAGCACTTTCCTGTGTCACACTGTTAAGTTTCCCTCTGACTGCAGAAAGTTGATGGCTTCCTAATTTAACACTCTCAAAACTACTATTCTGCACACCTTGACAAGTTGTGTAACCTCTCTGGAGAGTACTGTTGCAAGTCCAGGGGCTATAGTGAATTTTCCATCCCAAACTTGGAAATCAAGAAGATCACTTCCATAAAAGATGAGTCCTGAAAGTGTCATTTGGAAAGAAAATAAGTACCTGGCCAGCAATACTTGATTAAGTGGCTAGACTTACACCATTTAATACGGTGGTCATATGTAGGTATTTAAATTTAAAGAATTAAAATTAAATTTTAAAATTCAATCTCATCCTACTAATCACATTTCATGTGCTTATTAGCACAGTGTGGCTGGTGGCTCCTATGTTGAACAGTGCAGATCAAGGACGTTTCCATCGTCACAAAATAATTCTGCAGGGGATACTGCTCTAGAGTGGCCCTAGTTGACTGGTGGAAGAGTTGGTTAGTTGCTTGATCTCTGAAATACAGACAATGGAGATCCCTGAAGCTAAACTTTGGGAGTGATGTGGCATCAGCTGGGGTCCACATAGAAAATAAATGGCACATTTAGAGTGTTAGTTGGAGAGTTTAATAGAGCTTATTTATGAAGGTGTGGTAGGGCTATAAGACTCAAAAAGAATGACGCTGGACAATGAGAAACCAGTGCCATCTACTGGCTTGGAGGGATGAGTGTTCTCACAGGGCTTTGCATGTGTTTGCTTATATTGGAAAATAGCACTCAGTTTGGGAAAATACCTGCCCCCTTCTCTCTCTATCACTCAGCTGTCCTGCTGGTGCATCCAGTTGTATCTGCCTGATGAATCCAGTTGTATCTCAGGGGGCAGAGGAACCCAGGATGTAGGCAGTGGAGCTCAGTATCTTGGAGCACAGAGCAGGAGGACAAGGGTGGGAAAAAGAAACCAAGGAGCAAGGGAGCGAGACCAGCTCCCCTTCCAAGCACTGTCCAGGCCAGGGGGAGATTTGACCTGGGCTGAGTGTGGTGTGAGCTTTGGATGGGGCAGTTTTAATGGAGAG